GTGTGTGTGTGTGTGTGTGTGTGTGTGTGTGTGTGTGTCTGTGTGTGTGTGGAGCCTGTCATGCTGCCAGTCTTTGGAGCTTCAGAGCTGCTGCTCGGTTGGACGCCTTCCTCGGCAGCCTCGTGTTGGCTGCCGGACACTCGTGATCTCGCCGCGCTGCTTCTGTTGGTTCAGCCGCGCCGAGTGTTGGCCGGTCGGGATCAGTCGCCGGTGGGCTGAACCGCCTGGGGAGGTCACAGTGAGTTTCACAGGAGCTGAAGCTGACTTCAGAGCCCCAAACAATCAATACTCCATTTATGCCGGATAACTCCTCGTGTGATCATCGCGGCGCCACGGCTAATGGCTTCCACCCAGCACATTAATATCTAATTAAAGAGTTACTGGAAGGGAACCAGCTGCTTCTCTCGCTGCTCGCACTAAAGGAGTTTCTGGTGGTTTTTAAATGGCCTTTAATGTCCACTTGATGCACTCAGCTGCAGGAAAAACACAGAAGGAGAAACTTTAATTGATTCCAAACCAACAGCAGCTCAAACTAACCTCCTGATGTCACGTTTGTAGCTCAAGAGCTGCAAATAAACCTCGATGGTGCACACGGGGCTAGGGCTGTGCGATATGACCACAATCTCATATCCCGATATAAGATATCTATCGTCCTGACAACGATATAAATCACAAAAATGTAACGTTTTCTATAAATTCTGTGAATCTCGGGCAGCTCGACTTGCGTGACGTGTTTGCAGCTGGGCGTTGTGTAGCTGGAGTCGAGTGTTTTAACGATGCATGAAACGATACATTTTTAGACACAAGTTGTAACGGCCGCCGTTTTCTTTCAAAGTTTGAGTCTAGGGTTTATTTTTCAGCACCTGACGGCTCTTTTTTGCTTCTCATCCCTAAACTCTCTGCATTCCCGTGATTCAGTTTATTTTATAAAGTCTCAAGAGGATCCTGAGACTTTATTGTGAAAGGTTTACGTGGAAAACAAACAAGCGGACAGCGGAGCCACGCGATGCTGTTACCATCGTTGTTACTAACGACAACGCATAAAAACAGGCGCTTGTCCGTCCATAGTGTGGTTATATCAAATATAAGAGAAAGAGAGAACTTTAAGAAATTAATAATAACTACAGTGACACCAGAACCATGAAAAATATTGCTGTAAACAGTTTATTTTGCGACACCACGAAACAAATGATAGCGTGATAGGAAACGACAAATGTTTTTATATCGTCATCCGATATATATCGTTATATCGAACAGCCCTACACGAGGCGTGGACTCAGTGACAGTGAAGATCCACAGTGCAGTTTGTTGGTCCTCACCTGTGGGCGTGGACCACCAGTTCATGGGTCACACAGGATCATGATTGGTTCAGACCAGTGAGCTCATGACGAGTGAAGGGTCTGTATCCCAGCAGGATGTGATTTCTAACACACTTATTGTTCTTCTTATCTGATCGATGAGCCTGAGCTGCCTGAGCTCAGTTCTTCTGCATCCCTTCAGCCTGCTGGGACGCTGAGCCTCACAGCTCAAACACACAAACCTTCACCTGTTTTTGCCTTTTTGGATCCAAACTGCTGTTTTAAATGTTTCGCTACATCTACTAATACTCTTAGTTTTCCATGTTCGCTCCTGTGTCATCATGCCGCCATGACAACAAAGCAAACAGCTGTTTACTGAAACCTGGAGAACTTCATGACCTCACACAGACCCGAGCTGGACGCTCTGGTGATCTGGTTCTGGCCCCTGTGCTGCATGTTTGACACTGAGTTAATATTCGTTTGTTCACTTTAGATGTTCAAAACCACCTTTGAGCTTCTGCACAGGTGTAGTTCTACAGCAGGTGGTGTAACATCTCCTCTCACTCTGTGAACAGCTTTGAAAGCAGCTTTAAACCTGTTTGACTCGTTTCAGTGTTTATTAAGATAAAAGGTCACATTGGTGATGGTTCAAGCTTTTTTCATCTTCTGAAGTTAGAAAAACAAACGTCTGTTTAAGGACTAAAACACAAAAACAACAGAACAGCAAATCTCTGAGGTCACATTCACTGTCTTCACAGTCTAATATTTTAATATCAGCACAGCAGGTAATGGGATTACTCTGTCCCTTTGAGATCAAGGTGCTCTATACAATCACAAGAACGTGGATTTTACTGTAATATCAACAATATATCTGAATATATCATTAGCATCATGTGACCATGTTATTGGTCACATGATGGGTCACCTTTATTTCCATCGTCATCATTACTATGAACTCGGCTAATGCTGGGCTGTGTGCAGGCGTCTGCTGCAGAAACCAAAAAGCTTCCAGCATCAAAGCTGCGCACAGTTGATAAAGATGAGGAGCAACAAACAGCTCTCCCATTATTCCCAGCAGCCACGCGCCTGATTTAAGCCCCAACACTGCACTGACTCACCTTTGGAGCCTCAGACAGACTTTACAGGAAGTGTTCAGGAGGTCAGAGGAGGTTTTAAGCAGGGAAATAAAGTGGAAAATAAAACTTTGACTTAAAACCATCCTGATCTGTCATTACCAGACAAAGTCCCACTGATGCAGAGGTCTCTTTGGTCCCACCTCACGGCGCTCAGGCCTGAAACCGAGCCTCGTTCTTGGTCAGCAGAGCTGTGTGTGAGCAGCTCCTGCCTCGGTGGAGTCTGGATGTGCACACAGATATCTCTGCATTGCTGTGACACTGACGCTCAGATCAAACCTCAGGCAGCAAAAGCCCGATTCTCCTGTTTCTGAGCGCCTCAGTGATCGTTTATCCGGGATGAAGATCAGAGATAACGAAACTATCACCGTCACATTGATGCTTCATGAGCGTGAGCTCTGATTGGACTGATTTCCTGTTGTCTGTGAAATACCTGCGATCACCTCGCGGTGTGAAAACCGACAACAGGTCTGATTCCTGACTCTCCTGATCAATAACAAGGTCAGGAGGGAGATCCCCGATCGATGCCTCTGATCAGTAATCTCTGTGTTTGTGTTGTCAGATCATCAGAAGTTGGACCGTGAAGCTCGAATCTGTCGACTACTGAAACACCCCAACATCGGTGAGTAATACTGCATGTACTGCATGTACTGCATGTACTAACACTGCTGTATGTACCTCGGCTGCTAACGGTGAGGGTGATGAAGGCGGTGAAATCACAGAGGAGTCGTTCTCAGAGTGGAGGCGACAGACGAGGACGCGGAGAGGTTTCCCTCCAACACGCTGATCTCTGAGCAGCTGGAAGGAAAACCTGCACCGTGTACTGGAGACAGCACGCAGTACGAGTACTGTGATACTGAGAGCCGCCTTCGTCAGTAACGTAGGGACTGTCTTCTGCACAATCAGGTTTGAATCACATCGAAGGGTTGATCAATAACCACGAGTCCCATTCACAGAGTTGGGGAATGGCTGCAATCATTGTAAGAGGGTGACAGATGTTCCCTCAGAGATGGGCTTAGGTCGCTCTTACCTCTGAATGACTGAGAGTCTTCCTCGAGGCTGTTAGAGCTCTTGTATGAATAGATTGTGAGAGTTTCGTGAGCCTTTGAACGTAATGGCGTTGTGGAAAAGCGCCGCCTCCCCAAATTACAGCTGACGGCTTCTTCACCCTGACCTCAGGAACAGCCGCCTCATCCTCCAGGACGGGTTTCTGCATAGCATCTGCATAGCAGTGTAAATGTATGCTATGTCTTCTAATGATGCTGCCTAAGGGAAGCATGTATAATGTAAACAGAATTGGTCCTAGCACTGAACCCTGTGGAACTCCATAATTAACCTCAGTGTGTGAAG